AAGTCTCTGGGGGTCCTTCAGAGGTCCACTCGAATTTAACTTGTCGATCTGATCAACTTTCTCACCTCTATTTTTTATTTTTATTTTTTTCCATCTTCTCACTCTCTTTTCTTTTCCGTTTCCCTTTACGGGGGTGTGTATAACTCATATCAAGTCTACAGGCTTCCATCCCCTTTGCTTTTTCTCCCTCCAGACACTTTTTTTTTTTGGCTTCCTTGCAAGCTTAATGCTCTGAGGACCATGAAGGAAGCATGCAATGGCAGACCCGTTCCCAACCCTGCAAATATACTCAGATCAAAAGGTCCGCGATATGGCCAAGGCACAACATCACGGCTCTCTGGTGGCTCGCAGATCATCCCCTGCAGAGTACCTGTTCCGGATGCCAGAGTTTCTAGCTAAGCTGAGGAACCATCACTGGCTGGCTGAAGGGAGAAGATCAATAATCGATAATCGAAACGGGGAAGAGCAAAAATCGATGAGAAATAAGATTCCAATTTGAGCTTTCCCTTCAAGCCCTGTTCGAGCGACAGGTCTGTTGACTTCCCTTCTCGGCCAGTCGGCAATGGACGGGGCATTACTCCGTGCTTGATACCTTGAAGTGCGAGCTCCTCCTTCACGAGCATCAACATGCCAGACCCCTACCTGGAGGGGGGACAACAGATCGAACCAGCAAGTATCGATAAACAAATTATCAACCAATCGCCTGGAATCTCATCGCCCGATGCCCCGAAAGTCCGGGTAAGAAGCTCAGGGAGAGTGTATTATTCGCTCCCCCCCAACCATGTACGAAGCAATACCCTTGTATATTCACAGTAATAGCGAGGGATTCGCTCCGCAGTTGCATGCATAATAACCCAGTCGCGTTACGCCAAAGACGTAGAGGGCCCAGGATAGAGGAGTCTATCGGGAGGGGTTCAGGTGTGGTTGTGGCGCCCCTGAAGGATACTGACACAAGTGTGGTGAGCCCATGGGTAATTTATAGAAGTTACGATGGATCCGACAGCGAGCCACACAGGAGATAAACTGACCTGTCACATTGCGCTGAAGAAAGCCCTGGATGCTGGACTCTTCCCTGTCAATTTGCTGGTGGCAAATCATTGCCTGCCCTTTTGTGGTGCTGGCTGTCGCTGACGTCGGTGTACCCTCACTCCGTTGGGTACATACATACATACACGCCAGCGAAAGACTTGGAGGCCCCATTCAAAGTAAGCTTGGACTAGCTAGCTTGCAAGGCACCGCTGCTGTGGCTGGCGCAGCTTCGGAATGCCCATCCTACGAGGATTGTTTTGGTCTTGGGGGACAAACCCAGAACTCCCGCACGGAGTACGAAGGACAGGTTTACTCCTTTCCTACTCGGGCGTGCTCCCTGCTAGTTTACCGCGGAGTCCTCTGTATGTATGCAAGTACTCCATAGCTTCGCCGTTTCTACGTTTCTTTTTCCGCCCTCTGTTGCATCATTGTGTCTCTCTCGATGCAAGATATAACTCGAGAAAGGCCCCGTCATCCAATTCTATATTTTCTAGCCCCGTCACAACTTGAGACTTGGGTTGCTGTGCCATCCGTCCCTTTTGTGTTTGACCTAATTCACCGGCGATGAAGACTACAATCCCGTCTGATGTTTGGGAAACCAAGCGGTCTCAAATATCAAACCTATACACAGAAGAGGAATGGCCCCTCAAGCAGGTCATGAAGAAGATCCGTACTGAAGACTTCAATCCGACGTAAGTTTGGTTGTTCCCCAGTTAACCAATTTATCCCTGAATCTTCGATCATAATCAAATGGAGAAGCAAATTCACACTTACTCACATTGGGCCCCAATTGTAGTGAGACCCAACTGCGAAGCAGACTCAAGAAATGGGGAGTCACCAAGCCCTCAAGGCAGAGACGGAAGAGGCCTGCAAGCCGCCCTACTGATCGCGGAGGATCATTATTGTCACCAACACAAGCAATGGAACTGCGCAACCACGTCAACGACAACTATCCTCCTCAATTCATTGGATACCCTCCTCCCGCTGGGCAACCAGTTCACCCTGAAGCCTGGGATTCTCGAGTACGCTGGATAATAGCGCCTTCGCATGATCGTGGGCATCAGCTCAAAGTCGCGCCATGCTGTGATGACCGCCGCGCGAGCGCTTCCTCAAATGCTTCTCTGATTGAAGGCCCTTGTCAGTCCCCAATCGGCTATTCTGATCATCATCACCATCATCATCATCATACACACACCATGAATCGCCACTATCCGAATGCAAACCCTACTCATGGCTCTTCCTCTAGCATTGAAAGTTGCTCAGCACTAGCTTTCACTGGGATCAATCCCAACCTTACCACTTCCTCGGGCGACATCACACCCCCAAGCGATGCTGCATCGAGTGGCCTTCCGGCCGGCTGGCAATCACCCGATAGCGCTCATCATGCAGTTCGCACCCCAAGATCTACCCTCCCATCTCCTGCTATCCAGCCCACTAGCCCATGGAGTTATCCTACCCCTGAGATGTGCCAGCGATGCTCACCCACCATCTACCCTCTCGATGATCCCACCGTGGAGCAACAAGTTAACTATGTGAAAGAGTATCTGGACAACGAGGACAGCCTCTCATACCCATCTGTCTTGGACCTTCCTTTGAACGATGGCGAAATTCTAGACTCATACTCAATGAAGCCCTGGAAACGGCCCTCGTCCAGTGGAGAAGGCTCAGTTCGATTTTCAGGTGCAGGAGATTCTTCTCCCTCCCAAGAATGTCAAAACATAGAATCCCAAACTCCAGCACCCTCAGCGGCATGCACCACTGTCGTAACACCGCCTTCTACCTTGGATGTAACCAGCGGGTATCCAAAAATAGAGTCTCCAGGGCCTCTAGACATTTCTGGTATAGGGAACCCACTGACTCTATGGGACTCGCATCCCATCAATCATACCCGCCCGATGCCATGAGCAATGAATATCTGCTTGCGCCCACCATATTATCTTGAAGAGAGGGGGAAAAGTTCTTCTTATCTTTTTCTTTACACTGCATGTTGCTGGATACCCATTTTTGCCTCTCCTTAATAAAAACTGGTTCCTACTGCACTCGCTCTAATTCTAATGATCAGCTTATTATAACCTGTCCCTTGGAAAGATTATTTGCCCAGCTATCGGCTTCAATTCTGGGAAAAGGCGCAATATTTTTCTCTTTTTCCTATCTGATTCGGACATCTACATCGTCCGTCGGGGAGTACGGTGATTTTATCTTCTTTGTCTGTCTCTTTCTCCTACATTTCACCTACATTTTCACTTATTCTAGATGACACACAGGTATGGGAAACGGGTCAAGGCGAACTTATGGAAGGAAATTGAGCGGGGGTATTAATAGGGTTAATGTGTTTGTCTAAATGGGGCGTTATGTCTTACCCCTTTGTTTGTCTATCTGGCCTGTTTGATGTCATTCCTCTCTTTTTAACTATACCTATGCCCTCTATGGTGAATGGTTGCTTGTACGAAATGATATATGTTAGGAGCTGGATACTCCTCAAAAAAAAAAAGGCCACTGTAAGCCATGTGAAATACGTCTTCACCTACTGGTCATGTACGATTTCTGGAGATGATAGCTGAACTGCTTGGATCTAAGACCTCGCTTCATCCTCGTTTTTCAAGGCTAGAACGTTGGTATTGAACTCATGTTCACGGAGGTACCTATTGCCATATTAAGCTATGGATATGACACTCTTCTCTTTAGTAAACTTGCATCCTGTGGCTTTCCACGTCTAAATATCTGGGCACCCCTTGAGTCAATTCCAGATGCCAATTGAAAATCACAGGTATGCCTATGTGGAATAGGCTCCCGGTGCGTCTATTATCTCCTTGTTCCACACCTATTCCCCATCTGCATTGCCCAGCCCAGGCTCTACATGCAACGGAGATCAAATACAGGCTTCTCTGTCCGACACGGCGCTGGCCGAAGTCGGAGAGCTGGTCATGCTGCCTTAGGCGTCAGGGTCTCCCCTATCAGCTTCAGTCTTACAGCATCATGCTGTGCTGGGTACGCTCATCTCCTTGTAGTCAATAATATCACTTCCCTGACAGGCTCCTATGTTGGTCGTCGTCTAACAACAGCCGGTCTGCCGAGAAGCAGAAAGCCGTGGACCTCGGCACAACCCGAAGCTTGGGCTGGATAACGAGTTGGTTAACAACCCCAGGTTTCAATAATAACCCTCCGCTACAACCTCGTCTCCTTGGTTAATACGCGATATTTAATTACCAATTCACGGGAGACATTCCAAAGATAATAGCTATATCGCAGGGTCGGCATAAAACGTACAATAAGCTTCAGTCAGGATGCGCGCGATTCAAGTTCAGGAATACGTCAAGGTATGAGCCGAGTACATCCAGGATGACAGGACTTGCTCAGCTTGCTAACCGCCACAAACAACACAACAGGGTCCGCTGGACCTGGTAGTGTCGACTCTTCCCACGCCGTCCCCAAGCGCGGACAAGTACCTAATCAGAATACATGCGGCAGGAACCAATTTCTTCGACCTGCTTCAGATACAAGGCAAATACCAACATCAACCACCACTTCCGTGGATTTCGGGTACCGAATTCGCTGGTGTTGTCCTCAGCGCCCCCACAGCCAGCAAGAATCCTCGATTTGCCGTTGGGGATCGAGTGTTTGGTGCCACTCAGGGGGCATATGCCACCCATATCCTCGCTGGCGAAACTTCGCTATTCCCGCTACCACAAGGTTGGAGCTTTGAAGATGCCGCAGGGCTATTTGTTACCGCTCCTACCTCGTACGGTGGACTAGTCCACAGGGCCAAAGTACAAAAAGGGGATTGGGTCCTTGTCCATGCCGCGGCCGGCGGTGTAGGACTCGCCGCGGTTCAAGTCGCCAAGGCTAAAGGAGCTACGGTAATTGCCACGGCAGGTACTGAGAGAAAGAGACAAATAGCACAGGGCTTTGGAGCCGATTATACGATTGACTACAGAGACCCAAATTGGCCCGATGCAGTAAAGAAACTATGTGCGGAGAACAGGAGCGGAAACGGCAAGGCTGGTGTGGATATTGTGTACGATCCAGTCGGTATGATTGAGCAGAGCCTGAAATGCGTCGCATGGAATGCTCGACTCCTGGTCATCGGGTTTGCAGCCGGAAAGATCGAGAAGGTTGCTCTCAATAGGGTGTTATTGAAAAATGTGAGCATCGTGGGCTTGCATTGGGGTCAGTATGCCACCTTTGAGAAGGAGACGGTGCAATCCGTGTGGAACGGGATATTTGACCTAATCAAAGAAGGCAAGTTCAAGGGCACTAGCTTCACCGATGAGAGGTTTGTTGGCTTAGAGTCTGTTCCCAAGGCACTGCGGGCGCTTGGGGGGCGACAAACTTGGGGTAAGGTCGTTGTACAGATTCCCGAGGGTGAGGGTGCGAGCCAACCTAGTAAACTCTGAACTAGTTGGCAGGTGATATAGACATGTACTCCATACACAACGCATCTAGATAGTTTGGGCAGACATAAATCATATATACAGATATGTAGGTGCGCAAGGAGTCATGCTCTCTGTGGAAAATCTCCCGACTGGGAACAGAGAACAGCATGAACTATGAAGGCCCTGTTTGTAAACTTGATATTGCAATCTGAGAATTGTCGCGAAAAGACAAGCAAAGTGTCTCTCTCAAACCATCTCGGGAGACCCAACTCCAGCCATGCACTGACACAAGACGTGAGCAGATGCGGGCCGTCTTCGTAACGAAAGTCCGTGGATCTCCCAATACCGGGTGGACAGTTGGGCTTGAGGATTGCGGTGAGAAGAGTCTGTATTTGATAGGTCGTTTACGAAGAATCGAGACTGAGGAGAGGGACAGCAGCGCCTAATCGAAGCATATCCGTACGGATTGTCAAATATGCGGGGCGTTAGGTTGGGTCCTAGTGAGTTAGCATCATCATCGGCCGGAGTCCCAAGCAGGCTGTGCCAGCGCAAACGTGTCTGTTCGCTGGCGTTTTTCTCCTTCGTCGGTCGTCGTTTTCGCTTGAGGTCAAAAAAAGTTTTTTTTTTTTTAGTTTTTAGCCTTTTAAGCCGCCAAGCGCTTATATAATCATAACTGTATTAGTCATATCCTGGCCGAAAAGGGAAGCGGACATGACAAACCAATATCGACCTGCAGTACTCCGTACGGAGTAGCATATAATATCTTGAGCAGCGCTGGCAGGAGACGGGCTAGCTCGGCGCCTGGCTGGTGATACACCGGGATACACGCGTGATGAGGTGGTATGGACGAGGGTGTTGTTTGCCTCTCCGCGTCAGAGCGGGTCGTTTAGTCATCATGACCATCTCCTTGTTAAGGGATTGTTGCAAAGCCCCCTTATGAACGACCTTGTTTCACGGCTACCAGAAGGCCCTTGGGGCAGACCAGCAGAGGCACGACCATCGTCGACAGAGCCTCACTGAGGCCATGTGTTTATTGGTGCAGGATAACCTTGCTGGATAAACGAGTGCACCAGGCCAGGGCTCAGCTTTTTAACTAGTTAGTTAAACTAAACGCCGCGGGATCGTGGCGATGCCATGTAGTCAGTTAATTAGCTAACTGGCTAACAAGAAATGAGCCAAGGCCATGGAAGAAACCCGGTCCATGAGAGTTAAGATGAAGTCAACGGCAAGGTAGAGTTAGAGGAGGCAGTGCTTATTCTAGGATTATATAACTGAGAACGTAGTGACCTCCTTACTTTACTTCTTGCTCTACACAAGTTTCACACACACACACACGCACACACCAACTGGTCAAGCATCAAGAGGCGTCTTTTATCTATTCCATTTAGTTTATTCTTCTCCTCCTGGCCGCCTAGATTGAGTGCGTTTGCTGCCCAAATGAAGTTCTCCGTGGGCTTTGCGCTGTCTTTGCTGCTGGTATCTTCCAATGTAGCGTCGCGAAGTATCCTCCAAACCACAGATCTTGCGACTGTCAGGGAACTGGAGCATCCTTCTGTTGTTGAGGGTCCTAAACACGCTGTATATTTAGAGAAGCGTAAGGGCGGAGGCGGAGGCCGCGGCGGCGGAGGTGGTGGGCGGAGCGGAGGTGGGCGTTCTGGCGGCTCTGGAAGCGGAGGACGCCCGCGCCCCGGCGGAGGTAGTGCATATCCCCCAAGGCCAGCGTAAGCACCCTCATGTTACTCACTTGGTCACCCAGAGAGTGGAACAGCGAGCTAACTGACACACCTGTTTAGCAACGCTGGTGGGACTTCTCCCGTTGGATCAGGAACTCCTCGCAGCTTCGGCGGATTTTACGGCGGCGGAGCCAGAGTGCCATTCAAGGCTGGCGGTAGATCACCCCTGGGACGCAGCCCGTCTTTTCTCCCTCTAGCTGCGCTCGCATTTTTCCCTGGGCTTTGGCTCTTTGGTGTCTACGCTTACTACCATTCGGAGCCTTATATATGGTACAACAGAACCTCCATGAGGGACCAAATGTTACCAGTTACCTGTCTATGCCAGCAATACTCCGTCTGTGGGTGCGAAGACAATAATAACAACACTTATATCGACACCCTCCTGGATAAATCCGACCCAAACAACATCACCAGTGCCTCGCCAATCGTTAGAGTTGCAGAGGCCAACGGTACAACATCTATTTTCATCAACGGTACCTTGGAGAATGGAACCACTGCACCGGATGACAATCCTCAAACAGAGTCCATGGCACCTCCAAGGATGCTTAGAATCAGTGGCTATTGGCCCATGGCTTTTATGGTCTTTTCCGCTGTCCTTCTACTATAGACGAAGCATCAGGATACACCATGGCATGTTTCCCCTCGCCAGAGTTCTAGAGGGTATGACAATCGCCTGTGCCTTTGCACTTTGCTTTCTTTTTCCTACTGGTGTTTGGATTTGATACCCCGTCACTTTCTTTTACATATATTAGGGAGCTTGTTGCTAGTGTTACCTCTCAAGCTGTTCATGGTTTTTATGCCGCCTATCTAATGTCACGCTGTACATATATGTATCTACATACTTATGAAATAAATAACTACATTCACTGACTTAAAAGGTCAGATATATATAGCTTCAACTAGCCAGGTCTTGGTGTGGGTTCACTTTCTTCAATTTGGGATCAATCATTTGCCACTTTGCTAATCGTTTGGTTGATAATAGTACATATAAAAAATAATTATAGGATATTGGTGAGTGAAGATCCTAAACAAGATAAAGTGCTAAGCATCATACAAGAATCAAGAATCTTTGAAAGTGGCCTCATATCTCTTTCCCCTGAAAGCCCATACTCCCCAGTTGCCACAGGACACATCATGAGGATCTAGGTCATTCAGGTCCCATCTCAAGCTTCGGAATCTGTTCTCCCCTTGCTCAAGGAGAATGTCTGCTTCCCCGCCGCATTTTTCTTTTACCCAGTTCAGATCTCTCTCCATGTCACTCTGGGTGTAGCCCGTGCATATAATAGGAACTTTGGTCTCTAATAGGCATGGAAGAGTCTCCTCCCACTCGTGGGAACTGGCCGGATGTCCCAAACCAGGATGGAAGAGCATGAAACAGTCGAAATATGGGTCATAGGGTGCAAACATGTTAGCCTTGTGCATGGTATGGAAGTAATCGACATAGGTAGTAATTTTCATCTGAGGGCCGAGGCGGTCTTCAACAATTCCGCCGAAAGGATTGCTTGCAGTTCGTTCTGGGAGCGGGAACTCATCATCGCGGTTTGCCATGCTCTCAGGTCCAGTGAAGATCAGATTGATAGTGGCACGAGGAAAGAGGTGTGAAATCTGCATCCAGACTTCCCGCGGTAACGAAGACTCTGCACGCGCACCGAGTACGAAGATTCGGACTGGAGGAGCTTTCAACCGCAGCCCCTTCATAGTGCTTCCCTCACCTGACCTTGGTGGGTGTAGGGTATAACGTAGAGCTGAATTCTCAAGTTAGAAGAACTCCCGGGGCTTAAAGTACACTTGTAATCAACGAAGGCCGATAACTCACCACTTAAACTCTTCAATCCTTCTGGGGTTAATCTTCCACCCTTTGAAATGTTGTAAGGGCTGAGTTCATGTAGTACACTTGCAATTGTGACCGGGTAGGTAAGCAGCCTAGTAACCTGGCGCATGCTCCTATCGTCGTTGACAGCCTCGAACTCCCTGGTGTACAGGAAAGTATCCCAATTTGTCATGTTTACCACAATCTCATCCGCCTGGTAGCCAGGATAGTCAAATTCCGTGAAGAAACGTCCAGATTGCAAGTCATGGTCATCTTCATTTATCTGTCGAATAGTCTCGCAGACCTGTAAATGTGCCTCAAAGTCATCCATCCAATGTTCTTCGGAGCAGTATATTGGAACACCACAGTCCGGGCACTCATGTTGAGCATGAGCAGGAGGTTGTTTCTGCTCGTTAGGGATGCCTGGCTTTTCAGCTTCGGAGCATACCGGAGAGACTGAGGCGCGGGTTTGCTGATGATCTGGATGCGGGCAGAAGGCATGTTGCTTGATAAATTGCGCTCGTTTTCTTATCTGGGGTGAAGGGGAATTGCTGTATGAATGGAAGAGATTGTCTCGGCGCAGAAGTGGCTGTTTCGGCTCTGATTGTTCGCTAGCAGAGGCTTCCTGGGACAAAGCTAGCGAGGCTGTCCCTCTTGTCTGGCTCCTGCAACCATTCAATCTTAATTGTCCTTGCTGCTGTGGAGAAATATTCTTTCGAGACGGTGTGGAATAAGTTCGATAACTGTGACTGAGGCGGGCGAGCTGCTTCAGCTTTGGTCCTGACGTCACCCCATTTCGGCGAATGCCTAGACCAAGTGCTTGCACGCACCTTCGACAAGCAACTTCGGTTGCCATTGGAAGTGGCGGTGGTATTTGATAAACACTTTGCGATTGTGTAAAATACTTTCCGTTCAATTTACGATATTCAAAGCTTCAGGAACAATGTGTCACGTGATATAACGAACCTCCACCAATTAGATGGCTGCATACTTACCTCACTACTTCGTTGCACGCAGGTCTGATACATTGAACAGTCAATATCACAATCATAATGATAAACCGGTTTAATAAAGGATAATGGCTACAGCAGCTCAACGATTAGGCATTATATAGAATACAAGGGTGGACCTTAGAAAATATCTTCACAAACGCTCCAGTCTCTTGCAGCTCTAGACTTCCAATAGCTGCCGTTATACACCCAGTACTCTTCACCTGTGGTCTCGCAAACACCTTTTGCAAACCACTTAGGTTGATATTCTTCGCCTTTCGATTCTCGGTCTCTCCTCTTTGCTCGCTGTTTTTCCTCGACCCTATGTTTTTCAGTGGCAGCAAAATCGTACTCACCGTCTTCCATGGCACGCTGGTCGGGTCGTAACCTGGTGTCAGTGGGAGGGAGATGAGGTTTTAGATTATCGGGGATAGCATTCAACGTGACGACAAAAGGAGTCAGGTTAAACGGTATGCCAGTGGGCCTGGGATTGCTCTGCCATATCAACATGGCATGAGGAGAGTTCCCGTCTGGGGTGATCTCAGAAGCCGAGAGGGAGGCGTCGCGACTGAGCTTTCGTGCATAGATCTTGTCGTTCCATCTGCCTCCAACACTCCAGTGTGGCACACCATCCTTGTCCAGGACTTTGCCGGATACATGATAGGCGGAAGCCGCCGTCCAGCCTCTAGGTTTGAAGTCAAGGTTGCACACCTCTCCTGTGGTCCAATTTTTTATGACCATAGGACCATAATTGTCAACAGTGGGATTTCCTGTAATTATACCAATGACAGAAGAGGTAACTTTTTTCCAGGTATATAACTCTTCACCCCCGGAGGCGGGCCGCAGTCGCAAAAACCACGTTCCCAGAGGGTTGATGTCGAATGATTTACCGTAGAACTTGGATTTCACAGCAGATTCGCCCTAGAGATAAATAATCAGTATTTCAACATTCAAGAAAAAAGAAGGTAGATAAAATATATAGATGATAATAAGAAGGCTGATACTTACATAGTAATCCCATCTAGGTGACTCGGCGTAGGCCGCACCGATAGGTGGATGATGGCTAACCTGCTCAACGAAGAAGCGATATCCCTTGTCAGGTCGGGCATATTCATAAGTTTCACCTAAGAGAGGATTGAAGGGTTTTGCAACCCGCCCAATAGTCGAGGCATATTCACTGGCAGCAAATGCAGCCACGTAAACCATTCTCTCCAGGGAATCCGGACAGTCAGCAGCAGCATCGATAAGATCAGTGTATTCCATGTCCTCGGCAACGCGCTGGAGAAGAGATGTTGGCTCGTTAAATGATACGGGGAGAGTCATCTTAGTCATATCCTTTCCAATCATAGATTTCAGGATACCCTATAGACGCAAGTGTTAGATTAAAGCTCACAAACTATTTAAGGCTGCTAGAACACTGGTCTTACCCATAGAGAAACCTTCGGACGATCATCAGCCTCCATCTTCAGCCGTTTCCTGATTTCATCCTCATATCCTTTGAATGAAGGTGCAATTTCCAATTCCTTCTTCGCCCGAGCACTAGATTCGTCAAGCTGTATTTTTTCTTCTTTCGTTGGAACGACAACTTCGACGTCACCAGCATCTATGGCATCAAAGAACTCTTCTTCATCGTCTGAATCACTATCAGACAGGTTCATTTCCTCTAGCACGGTCTTCTTACGCGATAATACAGGAGACGGGGCTTCTTCGGTCTGTTCGGGCCGTTTCTCTTCTTTGCTGTCCTGGACCACTTCTACAGTATCCGAGGTCCGCACCTGTGATGAGGGAACAGTTTGGCTTAGCCTTCGGCTTTGTGGCACTGAAACGTTTTCTAAGGCTTCCCTTAGGGCCTTCTTTGTTCGGCGTCGTTTATCTTCACTTTCGCCCATTCTGTTCTGTAGGTCCTCGTGTTCCCGGGCAACTCGAGCCATGCTATCTTCCCACATCTTTCTGGCGTCCGCCTCTCGGTCCAAACGGTATTGCCAGTAAGCGTCCCTGTCTCTGCTGATTTTGAGTAAATCGACAATAAGTGAGTTTAGAGTATCAACTGCTCTTCCATAAGTTGTTAAACCCTGGGCAATGGTAGGATCGGACAATGTCACAGATGGATTCTTTGCCTTTTCGGCATTTATAGCCGAGGAAACTCCACGTAGAATATCTAGTTGGAGGCGAACAGACTGTGCCGTGATGCTAAAGGCATCTTTGTCTGAAGCTGGTCGCATTTCACGACTGCTTGTGTAATCAGCATAGTCATCTTCGCCATCACCTTCAGCCGTGTTAGTGGTCACATGGCTAATCACTCTGGCCATGTTGGACTGTGAAGTACTAAGGTCGTTGAACCCGGTGACTGAGCCCTCATCGTCCCCAAAACCATTATCTGTTCCACCTCGAGAGATTTGTAGGCTCAACTTCGATCCGCTAGGAGTAGTGGTGCTACCCAAGGACGCTGCAGGAGGCGCGAGGGTTTTATCATTTAGCTTATTCCCAGCCGTGGGCATGGTGTCCTGGTCTTGCCTCTCGATCTGTTCCATCTTGGCCTGTCGAAGCACCTCAACATCCTTTGTCCGTCGTTTGTCACTTTCCTTTGCTTCATCCTTCGCCCACTGAATGGCATTATTCAGCGCCCAGAACCAACGTTTTGCTTCGACAACGTGATTTGCCTTGAGATGATATTTGACTGAGGACTTCCCCAAGATTTCAAACCTCGTCTTATCCTGGGCGTCCATGTTTAGTTTTGCAATACGCATGTTGATAGCACCACGGCAGGCAGAACCGGCATCATCTGAATATATATACGATTAGCATCCA